GTGACGGATCGGCACCTCTCATAGATTCAACAGGTACAACACGTTACAACACGTTTCATGATGGATCGGATTTAGACCCAAACCATCCCAACCCCCCGCACCATTCAACCCTATCTGAACTTTTTGCCTGGGCAACGCTTTGCTGTGATGCTAGGTGTTTGACTCTTCAAGACCCCAGTGGTTTGACACAGCTCAATGAAACATCCACAGCCGAACCTGGCAACAGGAACCCACACAGACATTATGTGTATAGATACAACATGATACAACACAATCAATGACTATAGAGTTCATGGATGATGTTCCCTTTCGAAATGTCATAGGGAGCTAGGGTACAAGCTTTACCCCAACATCCCACAGCGCGTGGGACAGCATGGACCATGGCAGGAGCGCATCCTGGAGCATTTTGGCGAAGCATCTATCAAGCCACTGTTGGAGGATCTGTTGTACCATGCCAAGGACGTCAGGGTCGAAGCAGGTTGAACTCCTATCCTTCAGGTCTGACGTTTTTATTCATTCATTGAGAAAGAACAGGAAGAACAGTGCACACCAATTGTTCCAGCGAATTCTGCAGAACTTCGGCTGTTTAGTTTGGACGTTCCTGGAAAGCAGGAGTTGTGCCAGCATCCCTTTGGGAATTTCGTGATGCAAGTCTTTATGGAGCCACAGCTGCAAGGGCCTCCGCTTTTGCTCTTGCCATACCATCTGGGTGAGCACGACGACACTAATAGAGAATGAGCAATAAGGGGGAACTTCCTCACGTTCATCGTATTGAATTATTTTATTATTGTAATTTCGTTGGAAACCAGCTGCAACTCCGTGGATTTTGAAGATATATAAGATTATAAGATTTTTTAAGTTTTGATTTGGTCAAAGGTGTGATGATGATGGCAGCCTCCAGTGCCAAGTATCGTTTGCCGTCTGCCCTTCCAAGGAACATGCTCCGGCGACCTATCGCAAGGCACTGATTGAAATCATCGCACAGCATCCTGGCAGTGGTTTCCGGTTTTTGTAATCAGGGATCCTTTCAATTTCTCTTTGTCACACCGTGTAATGTCTTGTTCCCGAAACAACCATGGAATCGATATCGAAGGGGAAAACACCGATTCCAAACTAGGAACTCATCCTCCGTGGATTTCGTTGGGCTTCATTTTTTTCTGACGGTTTGGTGGGGCTTTCGCCGACTTCGTCAAGGAACGTGGCCCAAGTGGCCAGGGACCACTATGGCTGTGCGGTCTTGGAGAAGGGCTTGTCCCATGGGAAGGAGCGCCAAGTTTGTTACGGGAGTGAACATGTGGGTATGCATGGTGTGGCTCAAACATATTTGCCCCTAAATTGGATGAACCTCTGACGATTTTGTTGTTTTCGTTGCTACCTCTTTTTGGAGCCGTGGCCATGTGTAAGGGTCAAAATGATTGGCACTTGAAATTAGAGTATATTTATCCGATCAGACTGAGCCGTTTGAAACCAGTTTAGTAATATATTGAGGAATCCTCCTGAACCAAACAGGAAAATTCAAACAGTAAAACTTTGGAGACCGTCTGACATTGCAGTGTAGAAGCCTCCAGGAGGCCGACCGTAAGTTTCTGGTCAAGTCCGTTCTGAAGGTTTGGAGTTGCCCTTGGCAGCTGCCTTTCGGCGTTGGAAGCTACCCATGGTTGTCTGCGTGGTTTTAGACTTTCTATGGGTTTTCCGACATTTGGGATGATCTTCAATGCTTAGTGACGAACCAATTCTTTTGAAACAGCGTCCGCTGCGCTCTAAAACCCATGTGTTTGTTTTGAGCCACCCGTTTCGAACTTCCAGGCACCCCCCACCACTGCAATGTACACCCCTACGTTCAGAGGTGTTAGAGAAATCATGAGAAATCCCTTTCAACCTTAGCGTAAAACCCACGAATAGAATGGAAGATCCCCCTATTGTAGTCTCCATTCTGCCAGTAGCATTCACGCATTCTTGTCCACAATTCTATCACAATTCGATGAAGGTCTACGGGCCATAGTTATTGTTGCGAAGGTCTATGCAGGTGTTTGACATGGTTACTTACTGTCTGCTGGTTGCATCAATTTTTGTTATTTCTTGTTCTGCGGTTGTGGAAATCGCGTGTCTACATCCAAGAGCTGGTTGCCTGCAACCATTTTAGCAAGCTCTATTCAACGCTTGCTATTGTTGATTGTCTGCCTTCTTTGTTAGGTTGTACTTCCCTACATGCTTGGCTGAATACCCACATTTCCGCTTTTAAATACTTATGCTGTGCTCATTTCTTGGTAGTTCAACTAGTGCAACTACGTGCAACTATAAACGTTTGGGTCAAACGGTCAAACCGCTATACCATCATGTTTTCTCTTCCTTCGCATCTCCGCTTTGCTCCTTACTTGGGTAAGAGAACACGTGGATGAGCGCCCAACCAGGATTCCTTGTTACTTCTCCAAAACGACACCCTTTGCCACCGTTGCATGTCCTCCTCCCACTGGTTCCTAGCCGAATAGATGAGCACCCCCATCATTGTTCTTGAATTTCCTCACAACCTACTGGGTGCCTCCGGTAAAAGATGCATAATGGTGCCGATCGGTATACCAAACCAACCCTGGGATTTGTTCAAAGGACATATTGCATTGCGACCGCAGGTGGAAGGCTTGCTGCCCTCCATGAAGAACTTGCGCGGCGGGGCCACGGCCATCGATCGCGTGTTGGACATCGCCACTGGCTGGGCCTTGAGCGAGGCCCAGCGTCAGTTGAACGGAGGAGCCCGAGGAGCCCCAGTTGAGTTGACCACAGATTTCAGCGGAGCCATCACAACCATGGATTTTGGAAAATTTGGGAAAATCCACTTAGAGTGAACATATAGTGATTTGATTTTGGGCGAGTGAATATTACACACAACATCACAACACAGGCTCCGAGTGAATATTACACAACATCACAACACAGGCTCCACATACACCAGCGCAATATGGAGAAAGGCTCTGAGGCGTCAGAAAGATATTGCCATTTACATCATTTACATTCATCTAATTGGCCGTGTTTGTTGAAGCATACAATGTTTTCTTGCTTCAGACCATTGTGGACTGGACAAAAACTGGTCAAGCATCATTCGATCGAACCATGTAATTGATTCCTAAACAGGACCCAAAACTCCGTACTTTTGAAATGCCTTCAAACGAGCAGCGTGCGTGGACTTGCACCGAACGAGTCAGTGGCACGAAAACTCCGAATATGTACCGGAGACCCGCCAGTAATTAATCAACCTCAAATGAAGGAGAAAAAAGAGGCAATCCCGGCAATCCCAGAAACGAACTACAAAATGGAGCAAACTGGGAACAATGTAGCACCAAGACACTAAGAGCCATGCTGGAGATCCCAAACAGGTGTACAAACACCATCCAAGCATGGACACCATCCATGTCAGCAACCAAACTAGAAATGACCACCCCTTGCTGCAAGTACTTCGTCCGGTCCAGGCTGGATGCACATGATGCAAGGACAAGGACAAGCTGACACGTTGTGGCAAAAAGATGTAAAAAGTGCCAATGTCATGACAGCCGGGCCAAACACATCAAGGTCTTAAGCATTGTGGAAGGTGGCAGAGGAAAAAAGCAGCGCCCCGCTTCTCCGGTCCAGGAGCCGCAAGCTTCTGAACGGCATCCCAATCAAGTCTGCGAAAAATCACAGTCTCAAAACAATAAGATCATTGTCTCGCCGATTTGACTGGCAATGCTTATGTAGGCCGCCAAGCATCACGGACCGCAAAATCAAGAACTCAGCGAGAGGGAGGGAGGGAGGGAGGGAGAGAGAGAGAGAGAGAGCGAGAGAGAGAGAGAGAGAGAGAAAGAGCATGACTTCACATCCAAGCATCTTCGAATCCATCCATCAAAGCAAAGCCAATCATTCAACTGCCAACTCGTCTTCTGCCTCGTCTTCCTCCTCGTCTTCGTCCTCGTCTTCCTCGTCCTTGTCGTTAATGTTGTCATGGTTGCTGTCCTTATCCTGGTCACGTCGTAGCGATTCTTGGTGGCAGTGTCCTTGTCGTTGGCGGTTGTGGCTATTGTTGTAGCCAACCTAACTCCTATGCCTTGATGCGTTCCCCTAGCCAGGTGTGGTTCAGGACAAAAGAACACGCAACAATTACAGGATATTGCGGGCTATCATCGCACCACTTGTTCGCTCATGACGCGCAGGAGCAGTCAAGGTGTTCAACAAAGGCCGCGGCAGGTGGGTGGATCGCAACATTTTGTGTGAAACAAGTCCAGGTCCGCAAATGTCCGCAATATTTGTCGGATTGCTTGAGAAACATGGAACAAAATAAACTTGGAAGGCGAAGTGATGCCGAAGTGTTGAACTTGGTTCTTGGGGATCTTCCAGCCATTTCAGATTATTTCATAAACCTTGATTTAGGGATAGTATGCCATTGTATATATCCCCTTTCGGATAGTTAATATTCCATGTGTTGGCCGTTTGCTGGTATTTTGAATTAATTTCATCCCCATGGTTGGCAAAATGACAATTTTTGATGCTAAGAACCAGACATTTGATGGTTTTCAAACTTCAAAAAATGGAAAATCATCATTTTCAGTGCGCAAGGTGGCGAGCCGAAGAGTCGGGGCGCGCCCGACGATGGTGACCACAGGAATCGTGATCCACTCCATGAAGATTTGGCAAACTCGGTGAACCATCAAACATGGGAGATTCTTAGCGTCAAACTTGGGAATTCTAGCATCAAACAAGGGGGAATGTCGCTTCAAACATGGGGAGTTCGAGATTTTAACACCAAACATCGGAAAGATTGTGAAGCCAGAGTCCAAGATGAGGAGAATGGAAGTATATTCCAAGAATCATGACATATTTAATATCATTTACGTTATTATGTGTATGGGTCGTGCAGGGGCCATTGGTTTCTTCCATGTGGTCAATGCAGAAAGCTGGCGATTGGGAATTGGGAATGATCATGAAAAAATCCCGTGGGCGCCTTGCCAATGCATATCGCTGTCCGCACTCCCCAGATGGGGTTTCAGGACAGGTGCATGAAGGGCCAGAGATGCCCTCTTCTTGCCACCAGTGCAAGAACCTATAATTCATGTGAGCAATCGCTAAAACCTGTTGGCTGATTGGTGTTGATAGGGTTTGCAGATACTAATTAAAGTCAGGGCCATTGGCCACATTTTTCAAAGTAAGCGCGTGATTCACTATCGGCCACAGGTTCTGGCAACTGCTCATTCCGCATCCTCCTTCGCGGATCTCGGATTTGTGGAACCGTGTAGCGCGAAGCTTTCCAATTTAGATGCGCTGCATTGATGCACAGTTGATGGTGCGATGTACATAATTTGCACCACCAGTCAGTTGTAAATATATAACTTCGTCCTTGAAAACCGTGACCAGAATCATTGTGTTCGGTGGCTCTGCCACATCAAATTCCGGTCCACGTTTTCAAGGCTTTTCATCGTTTAAAATGTGGCTGGGTGAAGCTTCCCCGGAGCACTCAGAGACACCCACCCTGACAACGTGAGGACTGAATGGCTGGAGTCAGGGTCAGCTGTCCACAAAATTGTTGCGGTTAAAGTTTCCATGGCCGTAAGCGGCTAAGATCAGCGGCCTGTTTCAGTTTGTTTCTGTGGTGTTTCCACGTCCGTTGCAGCTCCTCGACTCTCTTTCAAAAGGGTGAAGCTGGTGTGGCCTCTGATTGAAATTGGCTCGTGATGGAAGCACCTGCCGGACGGTGGCCCAGAGTTTTCGGAGGACGACGAGAAATGAAACGTCCGGAAAATCAAAATGAACTCGGGACGGGAGGAGGTCTTTTGAAGGAGACTGCGGTGTGGCATCGTTTGCCAGGTGCTTGAAGGTAACGAATGTTCCTGAATTTTGACAAAGAGGAGAGAGGATTGGACCGATTATTCCTCACATTCTCTTCAGTGTTTACTTTCAGACACAGGTTGAAGGACTATTCCAAACTTTCTTGGTTGACGTCGACCCTTGTGACGACTAATGTAAAGCCCAATCGGAGATCCATCACTCCATTATTTTGCGCATGTCATATCGAACCCATCCCAAAGGTCACATCCCATTCTTGGGAATATGATATGACCAACAAGAATGCATATATATTTTAGCACCAATCATTAAGCAATGTGGATGTTGACCAACGAAAATATCTGTTGATCCATGCCTTCTTGTTCCCCCAATTTGGTTGCTTAAATTTGCTGGCTGAATCAAAAAGTTGTCCTATTTCGTACGAATGGCTGACCCTCAGGTTTGGAGTGCGAAGACCGGCGCACCTGGTGTCCCGACGATGCATGAACCCATCACGCAGTACAACTCACCGTGACACAGCATGGAGGCTGGGCCGCTGCGGAAATGGTTTCGCAGCTGGTCCTGTTTCCTGCCATTGGATCTCCGTTTTGTGAAAGGACGCAGGAGGCCATGTGTAGGATTGGAAACCTGGATTTTTCGCAGCAATTCTGGAGGGTTGTTGGAAATTATCTGGGCATGTGCCAAGCTGGGCCCAGATATCCCCATGAAGATCATCATGAAGCAGTGGCCTGCACCGGTTGTGAAACGTCCGATGGCCTAGATGGAGAGGTGGAATGGAAGGAGGAAGGATGATGAAGGATGGGAATCAGAGAGATTTGCGTGGGATCCAAACATGTCCAATATGTGACGTGACGTGAGCCTTCTGTGGGTTTCATGAATCATTATGAGACTCCACGCCGACTGCACAGTACTGCATCTTTGAGGATCAAAGCGTATCAAAGCGCTTGAAGTTTTTTGTGGATGACCATGACGGGAGGTACTTGGGTGTGTCACCGCGGCCTTTTCCTCAAGCTGTTCAGTGCGGCTCGACTTTGCAACCGTGCGTCCCTGCTACTGCCCGATGTCCGTGTCAGCCACTGATTTCAATTTCCAGCAGGAGCCGCCTTCCGAGAGGTTCAGAAAGGAACTGGTCGGTTGGATTGCTGTGAAAGCAAAGCCCAGACTGAACTCCTAGCATGGGATACATGGGACCCAAGAACGGCATCAGAGTATTCAGGCAATAGATCTTTGCTTCTTTTCGTATCTTTTTGCTGGGTCTTTCCACAGGCATCTTCTTGTAAGCCATGTAAATGCAGCAGCATCGCGATGGCATTGACCACCTCTTTGACTCTACTTTTCGCTCTTGTCCTGCGAGTCTTGACAGCCAGGAGGCTTGGAACCTCCAAGTCATGCAGTGCATGATTAGTTTTTGGATCCAGAAGCTAATCATGCAGTACATGACTTGCACTTGGAGGCATGTTTTTGGCATCAGCAGATGATGCAGAGCATGCAGAACATGCAGACAAATCCGGCCCTTTGGCTGCACTATTTGTGGTGCCGGTTGCAACTTCAGTATAGCACAATTTCTGAAGAGTTTCAGAACCAAACAAACGACATTCAGCGACTCACTGCGCAAGATCTTCCAAAGTCTTCCAAAAAACAACCGAAAACGCCCGGAGCTGATGCTTTTGCCAAGTTCTGGGATCCTGAGGTTCCCGGCTTCATGTCAATGGGGAACCATGGTATTGCATTTGGACCCTTCACCACTCCTTGGATGGGCGAGGGGGTCGGAATCCCGGGGCCAGCGGTGCCACCGCTGGCACCGGGGAGTGGATCACAATTCCCGTGGTCACCGTCGTCGGGCGCGCCCCGACTCTTTCGGATAGTTAATATTCCATGTGTTGGCCGTTTGCTGGTATTTTGAATTAATTTCATCCCCATGGTTGGCAAAATGACAATTTTTGATGCTAAGAACCAGACATTTGATGGTTTTCAAACTTCAAAAAATGGAAAATCATCATTTTCAGTGCCGGGCAAGGTGGCGAGCCCAAGAGTCGGGGCGCGCCCGACGATGGTGACCGCGGGAATTGTGATCCACTCCATGAAGATTTGGCAAACTCGGTGAACCATCAAACATGGGAGATTCTTAGCGTCAAACTTGGGAATTCTAGCATCAAACAAGGGTGTCGCTTCAAACATGGGGAGTTCGAGATTTTAACACCAAACATCGGAAAGATTGTGAAGCCAGAGTCCAAGATGAGCAGAATGGAAATATATTCCAAGAATCATAACATATTGAATACCTGCGATACCATTTACGCTATTATGTGTATGGGTTTTTGCAGGGACCACAGATTTCTTCCATGTGGTCAATGCAGAAAGCTGGCGATTGGGAATTGGGAATGATCATGAAAAAAATCCCGTGGGCGCCTTGCCAATGGAAATCGCTGTCCGCACTCCCCAGATGGGGTTTCAGGACAGGTGCATGCAGGGCCAGAGATGCCCTCTTCTTGCCACCAGTGCGAGAACTTGAATTCATGTGAGCAATCGCTACAACCTGTTGGCTGATTGGTGTTGATAGGGTTTGCAGATACTAATTAAAGTCAGGGCCATTGGCCACATTTTTCAAAGTAAGCGCGTGATTCACTATCAACCACAGGTTCTGGCAACTGCTCATATCTTAGCGGATTTGTGGAACCGTGTAGCGCGAAGCTTTCCAATTTAGATGCGCTGCATTGATGCACAGTTGATGGTGCGATGTACATAATTTGCACCACCAGTTAAGCTTAGCCACTAAGCTATTTACAACTGGTGGTGCAAATTATGTACATAAAGAAGCATTTTGCGTCATAAGCTTAGTCCTTGAAGACTGTGACCAGAATCATTGTGTTCGGTGGCTCTGCCACATCAAATTCCGGTCCGAAAACGTGGGTTTTCATCGTTTAAAATGTGGCTGGGTGAAGCTTCCCCGGAGCACTCAGAGACACCCACCCTGACAACGTGAGGACTGAATGGCTGGAGTCAGGGTCAGCTGTCCACAAAATTGTTGCGGTTAAAGTTTCCATGGCCGTATAAGATCAGCGGCCTATTTCAGTTTGTTTCCGTGGTGTTTCTACGTCCGTTGAAGTTCTTCAACTCTCTTGCAAAAGGGTGAAACTGGGGTTGGCCTCTGATTGTGAAATTGGCTCGTGGTGGGAAGACCTGCCGGACGTTGGCCCAGACGAGAAATGAAACGTCCGGAAAATCAAAATGAACTCGCGGGGAGGTGTTTTGAAGGAGGCTGCGGTGTGGCATCGTTTGCCAGGTGCTTGCATTCGAAGGTAAGGAATGTTCCTGAATTTTTGACAAAGAGGAGAGAGGATCGGATTGATTATTCCTCACATTCTCTTCAGTGTTTGCTTTCAGACACAGGTTGAAGGACTATTCCAAACTTTCGTGGTTGACGTCGACCCTTGTGACGACTAATGTAAAGCCCAATCGGAGATCCATCACTCCACTATTTTGCGCATGTCATATCGAACCCATCCCAAAGGTCACATCCAGTTTGGTTGCTTAAATAGTTTGCTGGCTGAATCAAAAAGTTGTCCTATTTCGTACGCATGGCTGACCCTCAGGTTTGGAGTGCCGAAGACCGGCGCACCTGGTGCCGTCACTGCTGATGATGCATGAACCCATCACGCAGTACAACTCACTGTGACACAGCATGGAGGCTGGGCCGCATCTGCGGAAATGGTTTCGCAGCTGGTCCTGTTTCCTGTCATTGAATTTCCGTTTTGTGAAAGGATGCAGCAGGCCATGTGTAGGATTGGAAACCTGGATTTTTCGCAGCAATTCTGGAGGGTTGTTGGTAATTCTCGCAATATCCGGGCATGTGCCAAGCTGGGCCCAGATATCCCCATGAAGATCATCATGAAGCAGTGGCCTGCACCGGTTGAGAAACGTCCGATGGCTTAGATGGAGAGGTGGAATGGAAGGAGGAAGGATGATGAAGGATGGGAATCAGAGAGACTTGCGTGGGATCCAAACATATCCAATATGTGACGTGAGCCTTCTGTGGGTTTCATGAATAATCATTATGAGACTCCACGCCGACTCCACACTACTCCATCTTTGAGGATCAAAGCGTCACCGCGGCCCTTTCCTCAAGCTTGTCAAGTGCTGCCCCACTCCGCGACTGCATCCCTGCTATTGCCCATGACGCCAATGTCATCCGTGT